GGAAGAAAAACTTGAAAGGAAGCAGGAGGCTGCAACGATGCGGAGGTGTATCCTTTCACTGGTAACCGAACGGCTCTTTATATAGCTCTTGCATAGGCCCATAAACTACTGCACAGAACTAGCACACGGTGATAGAGACCCGACAGTACAACTTGTGCGAACAGTAGGAACGAGCATCACGCGCTTCCTATTCCTTGTACTACTACTCCACCCACAAAAGCTATGTCTCAAGCACCAAAGATTTTCTCCAAGAACAGTTAAAGATTGCGCGTATATAGATAAGAGCGGATTCCAGTTTTTACCCACTAATCTATCAGTTTTGACATTAATTGCCCCATTTATCAGCATTTCATCCATTATACCCCATTACGTGGAAGTGTTGCTAGATTTTAGCCCATTCCAATTTTTGTAAGCATTCTTAACGGTGGATCCTGATTGTCAGGTCTGTGTGGCTAACTATTCGCATGTATACCCATTAGCATGATTAGTGTACTAATCACTTGACATTAACACCAAAAACCACAAAGGGCATAGATGTCCTTTTGATGGAAGGAGTGGCCTACACAAGCACCCAAACGCCAACACAAGCCGAAGTCGTCGACTAGTATCGATGCTGACCATGGTGCCCTCGACTATGGTTTTCCAGCTTGGAGGCGTCCCGAAGAACTTAGTCACAACCACTCCGGTTGGTGGAAATGTTTGGCAGTTGAGGACTGTTTGGATCAATGAGAGCGTTGTTTATTTCTATTTTGTCTTGTAAACAGTCGTCATAACTTTTTAATTTTCTATCTTAGTGAATAGGCAGAGCGCTTACACTTCCATCGAAAAGAATAATAGTAGCGAGTTTTGAACAGCAAACGTATGGTTGACAATTTGGAAAAACGTCATGAAAACAAGTACCCGTCAGGAACAAAGCTACTATATCCTCCTGCTTCTCCACTTGTTCATCTCATTTGTTTTACCTTTTCTCATTCCACTTGTCCATCGGATGAGTGCAAATTGATGGCAAAGCGTGTACGTGTTTCCATGCTGGTTTAAATTTATTACCACTATTGAGATATTTGTTGATCTGATGAAAAGTTTAAGACGCGTTGTGCATTTCAACTGGTACGACATCATGCACTATGCTCAGTCTCCGTTTATTTTATAATTAGCAAAACATTTGACCAGAAAGTAATTTCTTCTCTTGAACTTGTCCTTCACGTATGGAGTTGCTGTGCGG